AAAAAAATTCACCCCCTCACAGTTGTCATAAAGGGCAAAATTAGCTATATAGACCAAAACCACTTTTTGTACCAGGCTGTAAACATATTTTTTTCTGCTGTAAAGTTGGGCATTTTAACTTGGGGAGTCTATGGGACTGACTCCCTTTTGGAGCCAGCCTCTAGCGGCCAGTCGATGAATTGCAGTTTAAGTCACTTCCGTGTTGGTTTCACGAGAGAGACCGGAAGGTTGCCGCTTGCTTATTACACACACAGGGACACACAGCAGCACACAAACTTGCCAAATATTAAAAATGAAAGGATTACAATGTAAAAGATTATTATTTTGTAGGCTACATGCAACCCATAAACACAATCAAGCCTAGAAAAAAAACAGTGAACCACCCCTTTAAGGCTTAATATAATTTAAACGGATGAGTTATAAAAAAAATTAATCCCCCTCACAGTTGTCATGAAGGGCAAAATTAGCTATATAGTAGGCCTGTCGCAATAATCAATATATCGACTTATCATAATGGATAGTCATTGCATGTATCAAAATTAGCCTACCCCTTTGCTCACGCACGAGCAGATCTGTTTCCTCTCTGGAGATGCGTTCAGTCTTTGCGCTTGCAAATTTCGCCGTAATAGCAAACCCGGGGGATGAGACTCTTAAAGGGAATGGGAGATGAGACTCTGATTGGTATATTGCATGTTATGCCCAAAACACACCCATTACTCATTAAGAGAATAGGGACAAACCTTTTAGACCATTTTCCCGTCGTTAAGCTAGCAAAAGTGGATTCGGACACACCATAAGTGCACCTGCGCTGTGCGCTTCAGACCATGTGCTTAGATCTTTAAAATAGGGCCCAAAGAGTGTTGGATGAAGTGGTAATGAACCTAAAGTCAACTGAAACCAAATCTGCAAATTCTACTGTTGGCCTGCGATGAAAATCTCTAGTAGTTGAACACCTGCATGTGCTGTGAACGATTGCACAGGTAGCCTCTTCATTCAATTTCATTTCACAATAGGCCTACTTTGTAGCAGTTGTAAGCTAGATCTTTTATGACTGTCATGATTAAAGTGAAATGTGAAATGAATGAAAAGTGTCGATTGCAGCATTTGATTTATAGTAGATTTGCTTTATTACGTTACATCAGATTTCTTTTTAAACACGGTTTTGAGCATTATAACCAATCACACACATTTCTGTTGAGTTTATGAATGAAATGTCCAATCAGAGGCGTCACCGCGGAGAACTCCGCAGCTGTTCAGTGCACATTCTCATTGACTGAATTCTCTCATCAGCATGAACAACAAACTGCATAAAATAGGCTATGTAGGGCCCTATGATTTCTGCAATGTGGAAAACGTGGATGGCATCATGAAATCCAGTCCTGACAACGGAATTTACAGAATAACATGGGATGTCATGGAATTTGCCAAATTTTTGATGGATATATGAAAAGTAGGTCAGTACACTTAAATCAAAATACTATATGGACTAGTATCTGTAAATATTAAGCTGCAAAAATACGATTTAAATATGAATCCTGCGTGTCTCTGTGAATTCATGGCACAGACGCGTGGTTTCGTTTACTACACACATACTGAAGCGTGCGCGACGCTGGTGGTGTTTTTTAGCATCTGCTGCCTCAATATATGAGTTCATGAACACATGAACATAATCTCTAGAACTACTCTGAGAGTCACTTCATGAGCATTTGACCGTTTCTTTTGATTAAAACTATCATTATCATATACAAACAGAAACCTAAAGGTCTTCACAGCAACCCCTCAAAATAAAAGTATGGTTTAACTTGAAGAAACCATGACAGAAATATTACTTAATATAATGATATTACAACTACTAATAATAAAATGATTATTTTATAATTAAAACATTATTTTTAAAGGAATATTTACCAGAATTTATTTAGCACAAATTTATTTAAATAAATAAAATAATAATGCATATTTTTTTAATATAAAATCAATTAATTAGAGATGCTTTTGATTATTAATATTTAATGAAACCTTTCAAATAGAATTCAGAAAATTAATGGAAAACAGAATTTGGTAAAAAAAAAATAAAACTGAATTTGAGAAGAAATAAAACATTTCATAGGACCTTAAAAGTGTAATTTTTGTTTTGAGTTTCATGACATGCTTTTTGATAAATAAAATTTAATTTAACCATTAAAACAGAATCCAGAAAAAAATTATAATGGAAAAAACTGAATTTTGAAAAAAAAAAAAAAAAACTGAATTTGGGAAAAAATTTAATATATTTCATAGGGCCCAAGCTATGTAAGTAAGAAATTGATTTTGTAGTGTAGACAGCAGCTTCAGTGATTATAATGGGAGTTTTTGCGAAAGTGCATAACTCACATCAGACTGAAGTCATGGCTTTGGTGTTCTTTGCTCACTTTCTTTATATAATCTATTCCCAGTTTGAACATCTGTTTTGTTTTTCGTGATAGCTACTGAAATAACCAATGTGAAGTCTTGATTGTCTAGGCTAATCTGTAAAAACTAAGCAATTCATAAACTGTTCATGCTTTACCCTTTCTATTAGTTCTAATCGATATTAATGATCATTATCACCATATCAAGAGCAATAATCAGCAATAATGATTTTTTTCATGATATTGCTGCTTCACCTTCTAATGGGTTTATTTTTTTATTTATAGGCTATTTACATTATGCGATTTTTGTGTAAATATGTGTACATGAGCAACATTAAACAGTCTGTGTAAATAAACATAAATGCCATGTCAGATGCAGCTACTGTTACACCTTTGCAGTGTAAAGATGGCTTTTGTTGATGCTGGAAAAAAATTATAGTGTTATAGTATTGTGATTGACTGAAGTAACTGGTTAAATTTGACATAAAAATACAACACTACTTGAGCACAGTTTTTGGATACTCTACCCACTTCTGGAAAATACGGCGTAAGAACATCACTTTTTGCATTGCTCTTTGTCTTTTTTTGGCTGGCAGTATACATCATCTACTTTTGGTTTAGTGTAAAAGAGTAATGGATGACTAGCTGTTTATTTATGGGCAACTGTTAATTTACAAACAAAAGGCATTTTGCAATACCTTCCAAAGAATATTTATTTTTAATTTTTATATAGCAGGTTGGAGATTAAAGTCCATGTAAAGCGTTAAATTATCGAATGTGTTCTGAGTTTGCCACACCACAGAAAAATGCGTTATTAACCACCCAGCCAGATTTGAATGATAAAAAGAGCCGCCAAGTAAATAAAATACGTTTTTTAAATCTTGAAAAAATAAGCCGTATTCTCTGCTCTCAAACACTGGGGGTGTGTCCAATGGCGGCGCTGAAACCACGCCCACTCGCGGAAAAGCTGCCGTCTCTATCAACTGTCAAATACCGCTACAACCTGAATGGTTTGCTGCCAATTGGATTTACACAGCCATACAACAAGTAATATGCAATTATACGTGACAAAGGCATAGCTAGCTAGCAAACTGGCTGCAGTAACTAACGGTAATGACAGCAACTCGCAAACCATTGATGCTAATGCGCTCTAGTTATTATAGTGTTAGGGGAGGGGCCATGCTCAGTGGATCCAGTGTGTCATCGAGACCTGATTTTAGCCCCTCCCCAAAAATAATTCTGAACATACCATACCATAACCATACCATAATTCAGTACTACATAGTTCACAGTCTTTCTAACGTGTTTCAGCAATACATTTCTAACATTTATAATGTGTTTAGAAACAATTCTCTGATTTGCCTTTACACGGACTTTAAATGTTTTTGATTGTTTATGTGATGTGTGATGAACTTCTTTTAGCTTCACTTAACCTCTGGAACAGACACACCTCATGTTTCCTGAACAGTTAATCACAGAGCACTTTGTTCGAGTCCACTATTGTCTAAATTTCCACTTTTACTTCCTGTTCTGTTGGGTTTTTTTTTTTTCACTTTTACAACATAGTTGCTTTTTTGATTGTTTTGGATTTCCTGCTAAAGATCATTACCAAGACTCAGTAACAAAAACGCCCATAATAAATGTAAGCTATGGCAAACTGAACAAGGAAAAAGTATTAGTGGAAAAATAAACCTTGCTCTTGGTTCCTCTCTGTCTGCCGGCCTAGACAGTATTTTAAGATTTCACAGTTGCACTCCAAAGCTATTTCAAAAGGCAAACAGTAACATTATGGTGCCTTGTTTTGAAAGAAAGCTGTATGCTTTCTGGAGAATGTTATGCCAGAATGCATCCCATAATACTAGATTGAGCATGTTGCAATGCACATGTATGTGCATAAGATGTAATTTATTCTTAATACTATAATAATAATAATAATTAATAATAATTCAAGATAACTCAAAATAATTAAGCAGCAAATCAGCATATTAGAATGATTTCTGAAGGATCATGTGACATTGAAAATTGGAGTATGATGCTGAAAATTCAGCTTTGCATCACAGAAATAAGTTACATTTTGAAATATATTCAGATACAAGCCAGTTATTTTAAATTGTAATAATATTTCAGAATTTTACTGTGTTATTGGTCAAATAAATGCAGCCTTGGTGAGCATAAGAGACTTCTTTAAAAAAAGAATGCCTAAGGCTTTAATAGGGGTCATTTTTTATTTTAAGTAGAAAAGCCTGTTGACTTCATCATTATTTGTCTGTAATAGGGTCCATCTACATCTACTCTCCTGGAATGGTGATTTTGGGCTCCAACTCGGGTGATAAAAAGGAAGAGGCAGGAGTTTGCGAAGAAGGCGTTCCCCTCATCAGCAGACCACAGCAAGAGTCAAATCCACCCTCGCAAGAGATCAGAATAAGAATAAGCGCACAGGAAGAGGCCGAGGAGGAACTGAGCTTGAGTTTTCCTGTGCCGGCAACTGGAAAGTGAGAACTCGAACGTGGTTTCTTGCATCTTTCATGATGGCCTTTAGGAAGATTCCAGGTTGAATCACAAGGCTGAAAATCACAAGTGGCCAGATATAAGATTCCTGGTAAAGCATAACATCAGCAATGGCCAAGTCATGGTTTCAGTTCCAGAGAAACATGCACGCTGGCAAAATGTACAGGCTACCTTGATTGCACTGTATGTCGAATACGGAATGCGCAGATGTACAAGATGGAAAACGCTGAGTAATAACTTTTGCTTTCTTGTACATCAAGGAAAAGATTTATGCTTCATTTAAGTTGGTCAGTTTTTTTAAATGCACATGTCTGAATTGCTGCTGCAGCGAAAATGAGACAAACACATGCATGAAGACTGTGCACAGGAGGTACAGACGAAAGGGTGAGAAAAACGCCCTCAAAGGTGTTATGAGTTTTCAAAATGAATATCCTATAAGACAGAGGCAGCATAACTGAAATGCACATGATGTGTATGAATTGTTTTATTGTTTAAGCGAGTGGTCGAGATCCTAACAACTGCGTCTGTATGTTTCTAATCACACTTTTGTTCTACTATGTGGGTGTTTCATATGCATGTCTAAAAATACCCCACCTCACCTTCGGAAAGAAGGTGTCTGATTTGACTGTTGTAGGAGGTCTGGTCGGGACAGACTGTGTCTGCCCTGCCACCTTTACAGCACGTGTTCAGAATGACATTTCTTCATTCATCTCACTTGAGCTTGTGTGCTTGTCGTTTTGCTTTGTTTGCAGTGTACATGAATGTTTGATTATAACATTTGTAAATGAATGTGTTCTGATTCTTCATTAATATCAAGTCAATAAAGTCCATTCCTTCAACAATTACAGAATCTATCTATCTATCGTTCTATCGATCTATCTATCGTTCTATCTATCTATCGTTCTATCTATCTATCTGTCGTTATTTCTGTTGTTCTTTCTATAATTCTATCGCTCTTTCATTCTATCTATCGTTTTATCATTCTACATCTACCATTGTTCTAACTATCATTCTAGTGTTCTTTCTGTCTGTTGTTCTTTCTATCATTTTGTCGTTCTATCATTCTATCTACCTTTCTGTCTATATTTCTGTCATTCTATCTTTTGTTCTATCATTCTTTCTATCTTTCATTGTATTGTTTTTATCTAACTATTGTTCTATCATTCTATCTACTGTTCTTTCTATCTATTCTATCGACATTCTGTTCTACAGCTCTTTCTGTTGATCTATCTACTGTTCTTTCTATCATTCTATCACTCCTTCTGTCTATGGCTCCTTCATTCTATCACTCTATTTTATCATTCTACATCTACCGTTCTTTCTATTGTTCTATTGTTATTTCTATCATTCTATTGTTCTATCTATCATTATGTCATTCTTTCTATAATTCTGTCGTTCTAACTTTCATTCTTTCTATCTGTCATAGTTTTTATCTATTGTTCTTCAATCTGCTGTTCTGTCTGTCGTTATCATCTATCTATAAATATATCTATCTTTTCTTTCTTTCTATTCTGTCTACTGTTCTGCCTGTCGTTATCTATCTATCTCTAGCTGTCTGTCTGTCTGTCTGTCTGTCTTTCTATTGTTGTCATTCTGTCTGTCGTTATCTAACACAATGTGTAGTCTACAATGGATGGGTTTATATGTACACTGCACATATTTGTATTTTTTCTTTTGCATTTTCCAAATATATAATATTTGAGTGCCTTAACTGAAAATCATTTTCACAAATTTGCTTAGTGACATAGAAACTGTTCAGAGCATCAATTATTTCTCCTTCATTTACCTCATAAGTTTGATTTTTCCTAAATCCTCATTCCAGGGTTGAAAGGAATTTTTGACTCTACAGTGCAGGAGGAGCTCATGTCACTCAGAGGCAAGAGTGTGGTCTGCTCTGCTGTGTGCTTGTGTCAAACACGCCGTCGCTTCCTGGTTACAGGGGGACTGCCGTGCAACATTTCCGGGAGTGATGGTCAGTTACTTGAGTTCGGTCGCGCGGGTCGCTGAAGGATCATGCTGATTCTCATCTCACGGTTATTATTTATGGCGGCGGTGTGGCGTGTGGCAGAAGGGAAGGTAACGAACAGGTTTATATGTGTTGCTGACAACGCAATGTAATGATTCATTCTTATACTTACATGACTTTCACAAGTGTGTTTTGATAGAGATGAAAAGATTCTTCTGAAAAACACTAAACGAAAAACAAACGTTATTCTCGGATTCTAAGTGTGTGTCGTAGAAATGAAAGATATATTTATTTTCAGTTGTGTTCTGTTCTTGTGCTGTTGGAATTTCCAGCAGAGCATGCGTGCTTGGTTGCTGTCTCAAATCGTAGTGCGCTGCCTACTGTTTTGCTTATCACGTGCATAGGCTACTTTAGTGCGCTTTCTACCTAGGCTTTCTACCTAGACCTAGTATGCAGCCTACGTAGAACATTGTGGGTGGCATAGTGACCTAATGTACTACATGTCTTGACATCTTATATAGGAATTATAGGCATCTTAAAACATAGCGTGTTGCATATTTAGCGTTTTGGGCAGCTACCTAAATTATAGATTTTTTTGAGGGGGGAATGAAGGAAAATCTAGTGACCTGCCTACCTATATGGCATATTTGGGAACATAAATCATAATGTAACTGCCTATAAACAGCATTTTTAAGTGTTGTTGGCAAAAAAATTGAGCTGGGCATCATAAGTATTTCACAGCATTTTGGCCACAACATTGGAAAAACTAAGTGAGTCACCCACCCAAACTGCATTCTTGAGCATCATGGGTATTTAAAAAAATAGCATGCTTGGATAACATTTTGGGCATCTTGGGCACTACTAGTCTACTTAGACTCTATGTTTGGTCTTCATCAAAACCCAGCAAGCTTGCCTACCCAGGTGGTATTTTTGAGAACGGTGGTCTACGTGAAAAACTAAGGGACCTGCCTACCTAGATGGCTGCCTAGACAGCATTTCTGGTTGTCTTTGGCAAACCAAAATGAGCTGGGCATCATAAGACCCTGTTGAAAAAACAGCATATGCTGGTAAGGTATGTCTTGAAGCATGGCAGCTGGTTTAAGCTGGTCCTTTGTTGGTCATGAGCTGGTTATGAGCTGGTCCTGAGCAAGAGCCAGTTGCTTGGGACCAGCACCTGACCAGGACCAGCTTAAAGCAACTCAAACCAGCTGTCATGCTTCAAAACATGCCTAACCAGCATATGCAGTTTTTTTTAGTGTACCTACACAGTATTTTTGGGCAAAACTAGTGAACTACCTACCCAAACGGCAATGTTTAGCATCATAAGTATCTTAAAGGGGTGGTTCACTGTTTTTTTTTTTCTAGGCTTGATTGTGTTTATGGGGTGCAGTCTAACATGTGTTAATGCTTAATTTTTTTTAAAACGCATTATTTTTCATATAATTTACCTTTATTCCACACCGCTCTGTCCCTTCTCTGAGAAAAGCGTTGATCATTTTCTTCTTTTATGAAGCCCCTCCCTCAGAAATACGGGATGGGCTCTGATTGGTTAGCTAGCCCAGTG